CGCGGGTTCGATTCCCACACGGAACAACTCTTTGTGTGATCCACAAATTGTTGTTTCGGGTCTGGGTATTATTGTGTATGTGAACTTGTATGTTTGTAAACGCACCCACGACACAGGAGAAAATCCTAGTGTGGGGCAATGTGTATCCCACAGATAAAAAAAAAACACAGATATCCCACAGATACTAGAAATTAGACATATTATTGTTTTAGGACTAGATACAATTAACGTTACCATGTAGATAAATAAAAATGGAGCATTTATACACAATTTTTCAAACAACCTAACAAACTACAAGTACTTTAATCATATTTCAGAATGTTTAAATTAAGTACTTGAAACTCTCATTAGTCCTTATTAGGGTCATCAACATTTATAAGCTTTGAAGCTTTTGATCTTAAAGACATTACGGAAACCTTCATTGAATGATTACTACACTCCCCATATTAAGATGGTTCTATTAAGATCGTTGATGACCAAGACCACGCTTTCATTTTTTATTCACATAAAGAACTTAGTATTGCTCCTTTTATTAGGCATCTAAAGATTGTGGTAAATACTTATCACACTCGGCCCTGGGTAGCCAGTAGTTGTCTTTAATTTAATTTGGCTTTGATTAATTACTAGCGACCCGCCCCTGCTTCGCACGGGTGCAATATGCATGTATTATACATATAAACCTTCCTTAAGAATAACTATCAATAAAAAAAATACATCAAAATCCGTTGCGTAGTTTTAAAGATTAGCATACATAGGGACAGACAGACGGCCACTTTGTTTTATACTATGTAGTGAAGAGTCTATCATATGTTAATGAAGTTTATACTATGTTAATGAAGCGAAAGAGATATGTAAGAATTGTAGTAATTGGCGTTCGTTAGTCTCTGCCTACCCCCATGGGAGACAGGCGTGAAGTTATGTATGTATGTATGTATGAAGAATCTATCAGACTTTCCTTTCGTCTTCTCCAGGTGAAGGGTTTCCATAAGGATTGTCCAACTTGACTTCAATCAAAAAATTTTAGCAATCAAACCCACTCAATCAACAAAGCCAATCGAAGTAAAACAAGTAAATTCGTATCCCGGATTCAGCTCACGAGAAATCTGACATATGCAGTTCACAAGTGAATGTGCATTCCACATTCTCGGAATAATGTCGCGTTCATACAACGGAAGACCTTTCACTTTATACTTCTTATGTTTAATTATACATTAACATACGGAACCACATACCGAACACAATCGCTGTTCAGTGGTCAAGTTCTGCGTATCGCCGAATCACCTAACGGGTATCTTAATATAATAAGATATAGGATATATAATATAAGGATAAGCCGGTAAACGAGCAGACGGATCACCTGATGGTAAGCAATCGGCATCGCCCGTGGATACCAGACACACCAGAGGCGTTACAAGTGCGATACCGGCCTTTTGATTAGGTATTTGAAGATTGTTGGGAATTTAGGGATGGGGTGATTGAGGAAGGGGTGGGCTGGTAATTGGGTCTCTGGTAACCTCTCTCACACGACTTGGAAGTGTTCAAGTCATGCGCCCTTGTATGACCAGATGTATGAATATGGTGGAAGCTAAAGAGGTGCCTATGTAAACGATGCTCTGTAGTTCCTGCCTATCTTCATGAGACGAAAGTTTGACCTCAACTTCATAACAACATTATATTTACAAACAAACACAGCGTCTATAAAAAATGTACTATTAAAAGCTAAGCGCATATAACAGGGGCCAAGAAAGACATTACCTTAACCTTTACCATTCTATCATAATTACTTTAACTCATTTACAACTTTATCATTTTATAATAAAGTCGAAAATGCATTATACATTTTTGACAAATTATGGTATGTTCATGTGCTGGCGTGTACTTGGAGCAAATAAACCTGCAGGTATGCGCGTACGCATTCCTGCGCGTGCACCGCTATGGGAGCCGGCGAACGAGCTTTGACGCTAAACATACATTAGAGCAACCATAATAATGCGTTATTTTAATGTCAGGCTGTTCGTAGGTAGTTACTGTGACAGATAAGTATATCTAAATTGCAATTACATACTTATTATCACTTTTGTAGAATTTCGGTAAGTAAAGCTATGCAAAAATGGACCTCATTAATCTGACACACATGTTTAATTGCCCTTTTAAACCGCACCTCAATTAAGGAAAATATTAATTATTCGTAATTATAAAATTGCATTGGAATGCAATTTAGTTTTAACAACTTGCCACTTTTAGACCAGAAATAACATTTATACCACAATTGATATAAAATCGTGTAACTAAATGAGTGGCACAAATCCAAATCTACTTAGGAATTTGAATTGAAAAACCATACCACCTTTGATACTATATTACCATTTTAGTACCATTCAGCTCAAAAGTTGAAACCTGCGCGCGCCACAAAGACCCATCGAACCACCACAGATGAGGCTCAATAGGGCTGATGCCGATAAGGACCCCCGAAAGACTTAACGGGTTGCCGGGGTTCGGCTCGAAGTACAGGAGTAGGAACGGGGTGGTTTTTACTCAGTAACAGTCTGACACTCCCTCTCGCCTCACCCAGGCGGGAGAAGTCATTGGATGATTTTCCCACCTCAAAAAAAAAAACACCTCACCATCTAGGAACTCGTCTGATATTGCATTGTTCACGGACTGTGCTAATCACTTACCATCAAATCATCCGTCGCTTGTTTGCCCCTCTGTGCCATAAATAAAACCACTTGATCAACAAAACTATAGAATACCATCCCCTTTACTTATGGAAAATAGGAGATTTATATCTCATACATCATTAAACAGGGTGTCAAATCTTTTAAAGTACTTCTCAACTCAATCAATCATTAACCATAGGTCTTTGACACTCTTAAACCTCTATAGCCAATAATGTCATTGTGTTGCGCTATAATTTTCAAATCAATGGATTTTAAGAACTTAAATTTAGTTTTATAATGGCACTTTTAAATCCTGGCATCAAGACAATGTTTGATTTGGTTTTATGTTGGTTTATCTTAATGACTTCTTTTATGGGTATCGATATGAACAGGATGGGGGATCAATTCATCATTTTTGGCTATAAATCAGATGGTCATACAGCGGCATATAATATATCTTTGAATAAAACTACGAAATTGGCCAAATGCCTGATGGCGCTTTATTTCTTATTTATTTATAATTTCATATACCTACACCACACAGACAATATTACAAAGGACGACACAGTATCAGGTAGGTTTCTTGTCTTGTTCAGTTTTGTTAATCTGTTGACGGATAATTTACCGTATTTTCCATAATATATACCTATATTACGTGTCTCAAAATATTATCAAACACTGTGACAAGCACTTGGTCTTACACGCAACTCAAATACCACGTAATCAAAAGAATTTAAAGCCAGCAAACTTTAACTCAAGTGAAATTCAACATCTAGATCGAACCACACAACCAAAAGAACTTTACATTGTAACGTCGACTGCAGAAAATGACATCATACTCTTTGTCGGGTATCGAACTAACGAAGAATTTCCTGTGTTAATGGACACAGACATTCGTATGCGATAATGTAGGACCTCGTTGAGGGCAAAAAGGATTACTAATTAATGCAGAATTGGTGGCAATGACCTCCCCTGATAATGTTAAGTAATGCAGCCAGAAACACAACATTGATCGATTGAAGAATTAGCGAGTAATAAATTTTAAAGTTTTCGGTTGATAAGCGTGTTGTGTTTTGTTCTTTGGTTCAAAACCGGACCTAATTATTTAGGTACTGATCCACTATGACGCACAACCACTCAATAAGCTTTAGTAGGCTCTTCGTGAAATACCTATTGGTGACTCCTAAGTGTTTATCCTCAAAATTTCCACAGAAACAAAACACATTTTTTAAAGGGGGAATATCATCGAATGACTGCTCCAGCTTGGATGAGGCGGGAGCGAGTGTCAGACTCTTACTGACTAAAAACCACCCCGTTCCTACTCCTGCACTTCGAGCCGGAGCCCCGGTAACCCGTTAGGTTCTCCGCGGCTCCGTATCGGCATCAGCCCTATCGGTCCCCATCTGTGGAGAAACAAAACACTTATAGTGAGATGTATTTGCATAGCTATAAAGTAACTTTTGATTTGAGAGTAGCATTTAAGACATGGTGCATTCATTAGGTGTTTAGATATAATTCCCTTTGCTCAGTATCGTATCTAGTACAAGTGACACAACTTTCGATGTTGTGACGTCAAAATACATACACGATTGCAATTTATATCTCACGAAGTTTTACTTTGTTTATTTCGAACTAGATCTCTCCTGGGGTTTTACTCATGTATTCTATTCCTACACGAACAATGTCTATCCCATTATAAGATCATATGAAATACTTAATACGTAAAAGACAACTCATTCAACAGCCCGTAATAAACCAAGGGTGGACTAAGACCCTCCTCCCTTTTCTTATTATCCCGAAGAAAATACTTGTTACAAACTTAGACAATACCTAACACTGTTATAAGCAATCCAATCTCCAGAACAAGATTCCCAATAGGATGGTCATCCAAAAATAGATAGGACATTCTCTGCAGTTGTTACTTAGCCGCAAGTTTGTCTAGCAAAATGATATTCGCATAAATATTACTGCCAGGATATGGTAGATTGCCAAAAAACTTGGCGAAACTTTTTCAATAATCTTAGCCGTTTTCCTAACACATATATCTCTTGTGTTTGCCCTTCAGTTATACGTTCTAGTTAGCGCAGCTATTACTTAAATGGTTGCGGCTTGCGGATCTATTTGGACCTTGACAATTATCCTGACAAATAGGATGTTATGTCTTACCTCCTTTACGTGTGCTATAGAGTTAATTGGCTTAGATACAAAAGTGTTAGTTTTGCAAAAGAACTTTGTAACTACAACAAATATCTGTGCTGGTTTCAAAAAACACTTTTTTGACAACGAAATACTAAAATTCAAAATTTATTATATATGTTAATCAGACGATTTTGGTATGAAATGCCAACGACTTCTCAAAATGCAAAAATTAAATGTTCGTCTCCGTCTCCTTAGTGAGTCACTTTGTTTCAAGAAATATTAAATACTTAATCGCATCATGGGAAAAGCCTTGAAGTAGGTCTTTTAGACCCAGACAGGCTAATGATGATGCGACGACGATGACAAACTCAAAACAGTGTAATAAACAAACAACAGGTCTAATTTTAATAGTGCAGACAATTTTTTATCATATCACTCCAACTAAAAACTCAATGAGAACCAAAAAACTGTTAGTTCAAACTCAACGACCGAAACTTACTTAACACAATTTTTGCCGCCATTTTTTCCCGCCATGATGTAAGCGAGGTCGTCGCCCCAACACCTGTTGCTTATGTTTTTTTTTAATCATGTCTGCGTTGGGCACTGGTCTATTAAGTATTAAGCACTTAGTTTTTATTATAACCTCTTAGTTCATTATTGATTTGTGGTCAGGGAAACGTATTGCGTTAGTTGGTGGTCGCAGATGGCACAGAAAGTGGACTAGTAAAAAAATCTTTAGTATTATTTTACTGAACTCCTATACGTCGAGCAATAAAAAAACATATTCAAAGGAATGTACAAATGTTTTACTAACAAAACTACGAACAATTCGGTTGGCTTTTTTTAAAGTCGTAAAGAAAGTTCGGATCATCTCCTCTGCTGGATTTGAAGTAAAAGTTGAAGGCTTTAGAGAGATAAAAGCGGGGTTTGTAACCGGCAATCGATCCATATCCCCATGAAAAGGGGATTTGGGAGTTTCTCAAAGTATAGATTCACCTTGTGAGATGTACGGGAACTTTGGAAGTGTACGGTCAACACAAAACAAGTTTTGATCACTTGGTGCTATGCAGAAGGAAAAATAGCTAAGTTTTTGTAAAATTTTCGTTGTCTCGGAATATTCAAATCTAATTTCTTTTCATCAATAGCGACCCGCCCCGGCTTCGCACGGATGCAATATGCATGTATTATACATATAAACCTTTCTTAAAAATCACTCTTTCTCTTAAAGAAAACTGCATCAAAATCCGTTGCGTAGTTTTAAAGATATAAGCATACATAGGGACAGACAGACGGCGGATTTGTTTTATAATATGTAGTGATTATCTTCGAAGGCATAACAGTAAAAGTTATAAGATGTTGAACTAAGACTATCTTCTTAGTCAGTCAATAGGTTTTAGTTTCGTTGCCTTGGTCAGGTTTATTCTTAACACGTTTTTCGGATGACAAATATATTCTCAGTCTCAGTAGTAGCGTAGAAGTATTAGTATGACCCTTTGTTTCTGGATTCAAGCTATGCCATTTTAGTTATTATTTTATACAAGACATGAAAATTAACAGATAAAAAGTATTACATAATGATATATGAACCTCAATTTCGCCTTTTGAGAAAAGTAGAACATGATGTCATTTTATCTTGCAAAAAATGGTAAATACATATTCGGTAACGTAAATAGTAATTTCTTGATTTCAAGTAAATGACATTCATTACGCCGATGTCTTCATCATAATAGTAAACCAATTTACATTGCAACCAAAAAATTACAAAAAAAATCGTTTTTGTGTACAGGCGCTTGCAACTTGAGCCACTCTAATCTGAAAATTTTTCATTATATTTTCAACTTTAACACTGAATGATAAAGTTGAAAATCTATTATAGAAATTAGGAGTAGGATGACGTGCCGTGTCTCCATGCTACCACGCTTGATCTCGTGTGTACGGTCAGGTTGTTGCCATATCAGATTTCAAAACATCCTGTAGAAGCATCCTTGAGTTCACACAGTCTTTTATTTTTTTACTATCACTTCTTTTGGTTTGGGAACACTTCACTGATCCTTGGAGTGAAGATGGATGGCGTTTTTAATAATTTTGCTTTCATGGTCTTATTTTGACAATAGTTTAATAACTGCACGGTGGCTGGGCAACCGGCTGCCGTGCAACGTGTCGCGGGTTCGATTCCCGCACGGAACAACACTTTGTGTGATCCACAAATTGTTGTTCCGAGTCTGGGTGTCATGTGTGTGTAAACTTGTATGTTTGTAAACTTACCCACGACACAGGAGAAAATCCTAGTGTGGGGCAAAGTATTTTTTTTTTAAGAAAGAAAAGAAAAGAACTTATCCGGTTCAATTGTCAAATACCGCGAGGACACCGGTGACCGCAACCTATTGTTCTTTAATTGTGTCTATAATGACGGTACTCAAAGAGTTAATAATGATATCGGGGAAAATAATACTTAGAAATAGGTATTTATTGACAGCTAAACAACATGAAGTTCATGATTCGAAATCATATTACTAAGTTTCGATAATATTGAAATATCGCATAGCCATTTTTTTATTTCAACCCCTCACCAAATGCACAAACCCTTAAGGCCCAACAAAATGCCTCATCCACAACCAACATCCCTGAGTCCTGTCCTCACAAACTACAACGAAATAAAGCTGTCGCTATCACGCGCCACAAAACATTGCGATAAGCTGCACTGCCATAAAGACCCCTCTTCAAGTTAGTTTTTAACCACGTCCAATCTAAGAGTATGATCTCTTTACATCGACGCTTTCGGAGGCTCTTCCAAGTTCACTTTTATGAGTTTTTAAGTGGCCATTATGACGATAGAAGGCCGAACTTAATGTCTCTATGCTGAGACTACGGTGCACAGAGTCGTGCACGGAAATTTTCTTGTGCTGCGTTTAGATTGTGTTTTTCTAGTTTAAGGCGAGTGGTGTGATTTTGTTATTTGTTGGTAGTAAAGTGAGCAAAGTTCTATACTCTTTCTCAATGTAAGTTTTAGTTATTCTAAATCTTCTATACTTTTCATAATGCGCCACTTCTCAAAGTCCTCAAATCTTTTCCTTGTATCAAAATCATAGTTTTTGTTCGCAAAACAGTTGTATTACACTACACGCCACGAATGTCAACAATTATTACTTACTACTTTTTTACTTGTAATAGACACATTACATATTATTTTTATTTGTAAAGAATTTGTTTATTTAGTAAAGCGTCACCACAAGCAACCGTGTTACGCGTATTATGTCACAAAATAAAAGATTACATCAATAACGTGCACGCATTTGTAATCATTAATCACAATGAAAAAGTACCTGTCCGTTTGAGCCCCTGCTTTTGTCTTTATTGATTCCAATTAGTTCCCGATGACTAATAGTGGTTCTGTTTACTGGCGCGAGTTACTCGACTGATACAAATGCGCCTTAAACAAGTTTAAAGTATGAAATGTCTTCCAGGATGTGGTGACACTGTAATTTTTTTTTTACTCTGTGCCGCTGATGACACGAAATTGTTAGGTAACCTGATAGTTAATGTCATAAAATAACTGCTTACTGTATTGTAAGTTTCGTGAGAATATTTCTAAACGCACATTTGACACTTGGATACGACAATTCGCTCGTTAGTACGACTGATTGTTTGTGATCATGATAACTGACGCTCGTTTTTCAATTAACCTCTTTTCCATGTAATATTTGCTTGATTTCCCAACTTAGTCGCCAATTAGGGTGATCATCATCTTCGCGTTTTGTTTTCTCACTTTCTAAGTGATTTTGAATGTTTACATGATTTACTAAATTGTACGAACAACAACACTTGCAGAAAATTAGGAGTCATTCAGAAGTGGTCATTCAGGAGTCGAAACTGGACCTCATTAATGGTGCAGTGATAGCAAAAAATTGGCGTACTTGCTAAAAATAAATTTGTAGGTGACATGTCTTTACCGCTTTTTTTTTTTTTTTAAGGGGGGAAAATCATCGAATGACTGCTCCCGCCTGGGTGAGGCGGAAGGGAGTGTCAGACTCTTACTGACTAAAAACCACCCCGTTCCTTCTCCTGCACGTCGAGCCGGAGCCCCGGTTACCCGTTAGGTTCTCCGCGACTCCGAATCGGCATCGGCCCTATTGGGCCCCATCTGTGGTGGTCTGATGGCTCTTTGAGGCGCGCGCGGAACGCGACGCGCCGTACGCTCGGGTCTGTTTCTGGTCGGACGGGGAGCCACCCATGCTCGCCGTCCGCAGGCCCGCGCTTACGGTGGCCGGAGATCGTCCCGCGATCCCCGACGCCCGGTGTGTCCTTCGCGATGGCTGGGTTGCGAGGAGGCAGCGCTTCGCTGCCTGACGCGTCCCGCCTCCTCCTTAGCCAGCATGACTGCTTCGCAAAAGGAGGAGACGGCATCCCAGTCCCCCTCGCTCCGCATCATGGCCTGAACTAGGCCCGGACGCGAGAGGTCTCCATCGCCGATCACTTCCCTGAGGGCACGGCGGTGCTCAGCCCACGCAGGGCATTCCGCAACAGTGTGTTCCACCGTGTCCTCAGGGTGGTCCTCGCAGTGATGACACCCGGGCGTTTCCTCCCGCCCCATCAGACACAGGTACCTCCCGAAACTTCCATGTCCGGTGAGGACCTGCGTCAGGCGGTAGGTGAGGACGCCGTAGCGTCTCTCAAGCCACTCCTCAAAGAGGGGACTTACCGCTGCAATGGCAGCGAACCCAGCCCTCGGTTGCGACAGTCGTTGCTGCCATTCCGCCATGAGATCGCGCCGGAGCTCATCCCGCCACGCACTTATCTGGCGCGGCAGCGGAGTTTCGCCCCGGCGACGTGCCTCCGCGCGCATGCGATACACGCGCGCGAGCACCTTCGCCTCCAGATCCCACGGCGGTAATCCGGCAAGGAGGTTCGCCGACTCCCCAGAGATCGTGCGGTATCCGCGGATCATTCGGATCGCCATGACCCTCTGTGCCATAAGCAGCGCCCGAGCGGGCCGCTGCAGCAGGTTCGGCGCCCAAACAGGGGCGCCGTAGAGGGCCATGGACCGCACGACCCCGGCGTATAACCTCCGGCAGGAGGCGTTTGGCCCCCCGAGGTTGGGGAGGATGCGCTTAAACGCAGCCCCCACCCTCGCCAACTTTGGAGCCAAACGTCGGAAGTGCTCCACGAAGTTCCATCGACTGTCGAGGACGAGTCCCAGGTACTTCATCGCCGTCTCGACGCCGATGGTAACCCCTCCCGCCATTATTTGAGACCC